CTTCCCTATAAGCTGTGATTCCTTAGAAGAAGCTCAGAAAGCTGATAAATCCTTGCAACCTTACTTTGCTTTGGTAGGTGTTGGTTCTAAATCTCTGAATAATGCAACTACCTAATGTTGTAGAAAAAGACATATTGTTCCGGTGTTGGGCTCAGCCCGCTGCTACATGGGCCGACTGGGGGAGAAATCTGAAGAGTGCAGATGCGGAGGTGTTGTCACTCCTCTCTCCCTGTCGTGTGCAGACGTTAGTTAAAGTCTAAGCTTTGTAACCTGGGTGGTTTTGATCTAACTAGTTGAAGCGTCTTTGTTTTGTTAGACTACTTTGATTTGTCCTCATTTCTGGTGTGGGAATAATAAACAAAGGGTCTCTAATAACAAAAAGCGATCTCTGATAACAAACAACGCTGGCTCTCAGGGCTGGGATAAACTATAAAAAACACAAAAAGCTCCACCAAAATGGTGACCTAAATCTCTCCAAATGAGGATGAAAATTGTTCACCGGAACAATATGTCTTTTTCATCAACATAGGTAGTCGCATTATTCGGAGACTTAGAACCAACACCTACCAAAGCAAAGCAAGGTTGCAAGGATTTATCAGCTTCCTGAACTTCTAAGGAATCACAGCTTATAGGGATGTTTTCAGAATTAACCCGTGGAGATTCAGGATCTGCAGAATCTGGACTGGTAATTGTATCAGACATAAGGGGATGTAGCACAGAACCACGAAGAGTGATGTCTTGGTCCCTCTTTTCCTGTGCACGAGTCAAAACAAAAGCTGGAAAGATGTCTGTACTTACTTGGATTTCGGGTTCTAGAATCAGCTCAGGAACAGGTACAACTAAGCCTCCAGCGGCATCATTACCCAGAATCAAATCAACCCCTTTTGTTGGCAATTCATCTAAAATGGCCACAACAAGTTGACCTGTTACTAGAGGACAGGACAGAAAAATATTATGCATGTCAGCAGGAACTGTTCCCAACTCAATGCCCTGCAAAAATCACTGAATAGCCGGCCTGGGTAGTTCCAGAAAAAGGCAACGCTTTCTTTTTAATCAAAGTTTGTGATGCTCCAGTGTCTCTTAAAATCACCACATTTTCTTTTAAGTCAACACCCGGAAGAGACACAAGCCCCGTTGATAAAAATGGTTTATAGCAATGATTTGGTTCTTCCAGGTTTGTATCAGCACTGGGATTTGGAGAACAGAATGCTATTTCTGTTCTATTTCTGTTAGACGAGTTTCCATTTCTACGATTTTTCTGTTTTAAAGCATAACAATCACAGATAACATGGCCACGTTTATGACAGTAAAAACACTCAGGACGCTCAACGTTGGGGAGTGGTTTAACAGCTGGTCATACTCCTCGGACCGGTTCTAAACGAGTTTCTCCGACTCAATGTGTTAGAGAGAATTTGTCAGCCATCAGAGTAGCTTCAGTAAAGGAGGTGACTTTCTATTCATTCAGATAATGAACCAATCTCTCAGGAATATGTCTCAAACTCCTCTAATAAGATGAGTTCCTTAAGTTCGGCTAGTGAGGTTGTGTGAGAAGCAACACACCATTTTTCAAATAACAGACTTCGCATGAGCATATTCAACATAAGACTGGTTTTGCCTGGGTTTTTCTAAACGTAACCATTGCCTGTAGGCTTCCGGTACAAGTTCATAAGCATTCAGAACTGAGGATTTCAATTTTTCATAATTAGCGCCGTCTGTTAGAGACAGAGCAGACACCACTTGAAGGGCCTTACCTGTTAACTTGCAGTTCAAAAGTAGAGGCCAAACCTCGCGAGGCCACTGCAGTGTCGTGGCAATCCTCTCGAAAGCTAGGAAATACCCATCCACTTCAGTCTCTCGGAACGGCGGAAGAACAGTGATGCACTTGCTGATGTCAAAGTGTGGCGTGGGCAATGTAGGACCTGAGTAGGTTGCCGCTTCCCGTCGGTCATCCCCGTGGGGTGGCGATACTGTAGCATCTGAGACTTCAGTTGCTTAAGACGAAATCCAAACAGCAGCAGCATCAAGCTTCTTGCTCTATTGTTCAATTTCCTTAAGCTGGATCTCGGCATCCAATCATTTCATGTCCAACTCGTGGCGTAGCTTCCGTTCAAGAGCGAGTTCATCAGCCTCGATGTGCAGACGAGCTAGTCATAGCTTCAGGCAAGCTCCGGCTAGCAGAATGGGAGGAGGACTCTGACCAGGCGAAGACGAATCCAGGGAGGATGCTTCCTTTTTTTCTCGTTTTTGATCCTCGTCGTCATGGGTCGCCGGCAGTGACGAGGGACGAGACACAGTTTCTGAAGGCGGCGAAGGATCTCCTGTGACACCAGGAAATCCAGGACGAGCTGACGTAGGGCGTCTTTGGTCAGCTGTTTCGGACGAGCAGACTGAAGTTGGCGGCAACCTGCTGCATGTCGGATTTCCGACAACTCTCCAGCAGCCGGCGCGAGGGAGCCTCCATAAATGCCTGCAGGTCAAAGGATGCCATGATTATCTCTGCTCCGTCTTTAAGAGATATAAAACAAGGTTAGTCTCAACTCAGTGAAAATGCAAACAATGTAAAACTGGGTTTTAAGCGTAATAGGAGGGGGGGAAATCCCGGACGAGCCCCCACTTTTTTTACGTCCCTCGGCTCGTGTAAGAGTATGATGGTGATTTGAGGGAGTAAAGAAAGTTAACACTGAATTAAATAACCAAGTTTGTGTCTCTTAAAAGGGATTTATTAAATTTAACGTAGCTTTCTTAGCTGCAATGAATAAATAGAATAATAGAATAACTAAGAAACAAAATGGTCATTCAAATCAGGAATAATATATCAAAGGTTCCCTAATAGAAAGCGATCTCTACTAACAAAAAGCGCCGGCATTCAAGGCTGGGATAAACTATAATAAACTTAAAAAGCTCCACCAAAAGGGTGAGCTCACTCTCTCCAAATGAGGACGAATCTAAATAGATGAACACAACTAAGATACTTCTACTAGTTAAACTGAAACCACCCAGGTTACAAGGCTTAGACTTCAACATCTGCACACGAAAGGGAGAGAGGAGTGACAACAGTTCCGCATCAGCACTCTTCAGGTTTCTCCCCTTGAACATCTCCAGGAACTCCCTTTTATCAGGGACTTCAATGATTGCAACCACCTGCACCTGGGCTCGGCTTTGCTGGTAGTGCAGGCAGCTTCGCTGAGGCCATCTAGTGGCCGTAACAGACAGGGTCTATTACATAACCATTAGCAGCGTCACAACATGGCGGAAAACATTCATGGCTCGTGTTATTTATGGAGAAACATCAACGTTGCATTCTGCACTCAAGAGTTGCGTTGCTGTAATCCGATCACTTATATCAGGCGCATACACCTGATCTTTATCTATTTTTTTAGCATGGCCATGACGTTACACTCATAGCCTTCTAATTTCTGATCCACTGCCAAGATGGCAGGGTGCAGGAGGCCACTTTAGGGTTTATTAGACGATGTCAGGAGATGCTGAGTCACCTTTTGGAGACAACCCAGAAAGTCCAGACCTGTTTCCATTTTCTCTACTTTTTATATACAAATCAAGTTAAAACAGAACCGCTGCCTCAGCGTTTTTTCTTTTTTAAGTATTGCTGTAATAATTTAAAGTGAGTTGTCATACTCAAAATGCTCGTTGAGCATTCCTGCGAGGAAAAATCTCCTAAAAACAAAAAAAAAACAACAAGATGTTAGCGCATCCTGAAGAATAATGAGTAGGACTCTTAAATCTGTATTCAGCATATTCAGGTAGTCAGCTGACCTCATTCTTGGAGCACATCCTGTTGCTCAACCTAGACCTGACCAACTGCAGCAACCCCAGATCATAACACTGCCCCCACAGGCTTGTACACTAGGCGTGATGGGTGCATCACGTCATCTGCCTCTCTTCTTACCCTGATGCACCCATCACTCTGGAACAGGGTACGTCTGGACTCTGACCAGTTTTTTAACCCAGATTTAGTCATTTCTGCATCTCCTTAAATGTTTTCTATGCTTGATGCTAATGATCTGACCCTTCTCACACAGACTAACATCTTTTCCATGACCACCAGATGTGTCTTAATGAGAAGCAACTCATTGCACCAGTTGGGGTTAAATAACGTGTTGCAGCTGAAAGATAATGCCCATGCAGTAATCATCCAATAGGAGGCGCCTACCTATTTGCTTAGTTAAAGCCAGGTGGAGACCTTTTTTTGACCAGGCGACACCCATTTGTTGCATCTGGTTCTCATTCAGCTCGACACTTCACCCACATTTGGATATCTTGGCTCCCAACTGAAAATGGAAGCGAGTGAGTATGCAAATTGAGATTGCACATCATTTGCAATTTGCTCACCTACAGACAAGCGAGAGAGGCAGCCCTCCTCCTGCTCATACTGAGACTCCTCTTTTATGTTCCAAGTCAGGCAATTAATTTGGTATTGTATCAAGGACAAAGACGCAACAACGTATAACAAGTCAGAGCAGAGGCCAGTAATTGTGATATCACTATCATAGTTTATATTATATTGAGTGGAAAATTCCTCTTTTTAAGGGATGTTGTGGTAACATGGGGAGGAAGTCAGCTTTGCCAGGTTCAGATAACCTGTCAAATAAAGTAAAAAACTATATTTTCTGATCACTGCAGCTTTTCCTGAACAGCTGGTGCATTGACTTATCAATCGCTCATAGCAAAGTACCCTCAATTTTTGGAGCAGACATGCCTTTGGACCCTGACTTGGGTGAAAAACCACATCCAAATTCGATGATGAAACTCCTCTGTCATTTTGAAGGATCTCACGCATCAACTGTGCAATTGAGTGTGATCTTGCACCATCTGGTTTCAAGCTAAAGGTTCATGTACTCCAGTGCAAAAAGTGCATCATGCTATGAACGCGATAATGAATCCTGTGCACACTCAATGTGCTTCACGGTCAAATAAATTTAGGATGTGAAGCAGCTGAAGTGCTTTGAATGTCTGAGCTCGTCTCTGTGTTTCCTCTTCAGGATGACCATCAACGCAGAATGCCAGCTGCAGCTTCATAATTTCCCAATGGATGAACACTCCTGTCCTCTTGTATTCTCCAGCTGTGAGTACAAGCACAGAAAATGCACACATGCACAGATATGCTAACTTTACTTCACAGAAAGAACTTTAGCTACTCTTTTTTTAGTCCAAAAACAAAAGAATAAATCTGCTAAATTAACCCTTAAATTTAAGAGCTCTATTATTAAAAACTACCTACAAAATGATCCAACTAAAATCAGCACCCGAAGAAGTTATCTAAGATGTGTTTTTAGTTTAGAAAATGCCTCATTGGTTTAAATGGAAGCAGTTGGATTTAAAAGCTGTACTGGAACCAGTCACCGGGAGCGCTTCTTTAATTTCAGCTTCTGGATCCTGTTTGTTAACGACTGAACAGATAGATCTTTAAAAGGGCTTTTAGTCAGAGGTCATCACTAAAATGTTAAGGAACCAGAACTTTTTTCTTCAGGCCAAACTTTAATCTATCCATGGATAATTATTGTCTTTACTGTTGTCAAAGTTTCATATTTTCATTGTTTATTTTTTGTTTTTTTAATGGTAAATGGCCTGTATTTGATGTAGCACCTTCTAGAGTCCTGGAACCCCTCAAGGCGCATTACAACACAGTCAGTCATTCACCCATTCACACACACATGGACAAACAAAGCGCTGTGCATCAATAAAAAACACAACAAAACACAGCAATAAAACAAACATATATAACCATTAAAATACAATAAGAATTCCTGAGTCCAGTTTAGCAATCCATATCAGCCCTGTTTCCAGAATCAGATCCAGAAACATTCAAAGTGATGCTGCCCACCTAATCCCAACTTCAATGTCCAAACGCCAACGAGAACAGATGGGTTTTTAGTCAGCTTTTAAAGCTCTCAAGTGATTGGGCCTGCTTCACATCGGCCGGCAGCTCATTCCAGAGCCTTGGTCCCAGCACTGAGAAGACACGGCTCCCACGAGACTTCAAGCTGTACCTGGGCATAGTTAATAGTCTCTGGTCAGCTGACCTAAGGGAATGCACCGGGACATAGAGCCCTGCACTGAAGCCCTAGGCCCTCGAGTCGGGTCGGCCCGACGGCCCTCGGGCCGGGCTTCGGGCCACCGACTGTGTAATTACCTCGGACACGAGCCAGGCCGGGCGCCTTTGTTTTTAGTCGAATTCATAAAAAAAATTGAAACACTTAAACCAGGGGCCGGCAACCTGTTCCCATCAGAGAGCCATTATTACCCGTTTCCCACAGTAAAGAAAACACTGGGAGCCACAGCAGCCGCGGCGTTGTGGGCGGGGCCTACCCTCAGACAGCAGAGCTCAATGTTTCATTTTTCTCCATTTGTTATTACGATACATTTTAAATAATCTTTTGTTTTTTGGTTCTTGTGAAGCGTCTTGTGCTTTTTATCCTTAGAGGCACTATCTAAAAACATGTTTTTTTTTCTTTTTTGGATAAATTTGTTTTGCTCTAAGATCTTAACCGACTCGGGTTGGGTTCCTTTCAGTGTTGAGCCTTTTCGTATTCCCTTTTGTTTTGCTGCTCTTTGTTTGCAGGAGCTTCTCAGTCTCTAAATAAACTTCTATTATTATTATTTTTTTTTAAATAAAAAAATAATTCATTTTCTTCCAAACCAAGACTTTTTATTTGTTGGTAGACTTTTCAAGCTTGTCATTCAGATCTATGATTGTTTTCTGGCATTGTTCTTTTGTCCCTGAAAAACTGCCCCAGCTCCTTTTTTAGTTGCTACACTGCTTTCTTCAAATTCTGCAGGGGATTTGTGCCCAGCTGTGCTTTATACATCTGGATTTTTGATTGAACCTCAGCAGGTTGGAAAATCAGTTGATTGTTTTCCCGCAACACCACAAAGACACTCGTTGTTGGAGAGGTCTGATAATCAGGATGGTGTCCATTCTGTTTTCCAAAAGCCGCTGGATTAAGCAGAGCTGAATTTTGGGGTTTAACTGTTAGAAACAGCAGTGTCACATAGTGATGGGAATTCAGGCTCTTTTTAGAGAGCCGGTTCTTTTGGCTCAACTCACCAAAAAGAGCCAGCTCTTTCAGCTCCCAAGTGACTCCTCAGATTTTCTGTTGCGTATTTATCACCAAAAATAATGCAAAACTAAATGTAAAATGACTTACTAATGTAAAAAATGCAATATATCAAAATTTATCATTTATATGGATTTATTTACTGAACACTTTAAGAAATCTCAACTTTCCGACTGCTGTCGCTCATTTTCTCACCATCTTCATTGCACTTTCCTCTCTCTCGCTCGCCTTTTTCCTCCTCCTCATCCCCTCTCTTCTCCCTCCGCCTGCATGTGCTCTGCTGTGTCGGTCTGTCTGAGTCTCATCCTCCCTCTTCCCCTCCCCTATTGCTCTGTGTGTGGATAGTCTGGACACGCAGTTACACATTTTGACCAATCACCTGTGGCTTTCACCAAAGCAAGAGGGGGAGGGGAGGGAGGGTGACGGCTCCCGTCGTTCACTTCATAGAGCCGGTTCGTTCGCGACTGACACATCACTAGTGTCACACCTGCCTTTAACATGTGTGTGCAATTTTACCAGTCCTGGTACTGTCATAGTGGGGAAATCAATTTCCCTCTGGGATTAATAAAGTATTTTTGAATTGAATTGAAAGATGATTTGTCCGGTAATCATCGAACCTATCTCATGATAAAGTAAGGTGATGCAAGGGTTGGGTAGTTGGAGCGCTGGCGGTCCCACACACAAGCTTACAATATAATGAAACATCACTGCACTCAGCCATCTCTAGCTAACACCTCTGAACTTTTAGAGCGCTCCACCCCTACATGCAACCTGGAATCTTCTAGTCAAAACCATTAGGCCCTGTCCACACGTAGCCGGGGATCTGCCAAAACGTAGATATTTTTCTACGTTTTGGCCTGTCATCCACACAAAAACAGAGTTTTTTCCACACGAAAACGGATCTTTTTAAAAACTCCGGCCAAAGTGAAGATCTGCGTTTTCTCCGTTTTGGGCGTCTGTGTGTGGACAGACAAAACCGGAGTTTTAAGGTCCGCAACGTCACTTTCCGCGACAAACAATGCTGACATCACGTGTGCGACCGGTGTTTACACTAGCCGGCATCATGGATGCCCTCAGAGCTGCCCTCGCTTTATCAATTGTCCAAGCGCTTTTTGCTCGTTTGTTTTTGCAAGCGGAATTACTGCTCCTAGTGGAAGACCACAGACGAAGGATGAGGTTAAGAACGGGGGAAGTACTGCCGCCTACAGGTCTGCAATGTCCTTAACAACGTATTTATCCGGGTACGTGTGGACACAGTTTTGTTTTAAAACAAGGTGGTGTGGATGCAAGTTTTTGGAGGGGTGGATATTCGTTTTCAAAAAACCCCGGCTACGTGTGGACTAGGCCTTAGTCTCCTCTGGCCTTAAAATGAGCTCCTGGAACCACTATCTTTTAGCCCAGGTTGTAGAATGCATATCTTCCATTTTTATTAACCTAGGCTGTATTTTTTTTTCCTGTAAAGAGCTGCTGAAGACACTCATATTTAGACTGGCTTTTAACTAGATTTGTGCTGACTGATTTAGTTTTAGTCACTTAAATTTGCTTTAATGCCCTTCTATTCCTTGTCTTGTGTTTGTGTACATTTGTTTTATTCCTTTATTGTGAAGCACTGTGTGATATAAAGTGAACTTACATACTAACTAGGGATGAGCGAGTACACCACTATCTGTTCAACCCCAACCATCAAGATTATCTGTATCTGTACTCGGAGTGGGCGTGACCTAACCCGAAAGTGGGTGTGGTTTCCATCAATACATTATTTTAAGTCTGAAATTGATACGGATTGATCAGAAGTTGCTATGTGTATTGTTTCTTTGAAAACTATTTACAGAGCAGCCTCAGAATTGAGATTAAATATTTATGATCACAATAGTAAAGGAACTATTACAGAACAAGTTTTTCAATAAAATCAGAATATTATTATTAAAGTGCATGAATTAATACATACAGAGAGGGAGAGGGAGAAAAAAAAACTCGACCGGAGCAGAGGCAGTGGCCGACGCAGCACGAGCCGTTTTCAGCTCTGTCTTGTCAAATGCACCACGTACGTTACGAAAAAAGTTACTTTAAATATTAAACCGAAGAAGAGGCGAGCTGAAGAAAACCTAAGGAGTTCTGAAGAAATGTGAGCAACAGTGAAGCAAGCACAGAGAAATCCGTTATTGTCTGTGTGTGGATGGGCCGGACAGAGCTCCCGGCTGCAGAGTTTTGTGTGTAGGGAGGGGCGGGCGCTCTACGTGACTGGCCAATCACAGAGCGTGAAGACTGTCAGTTACCCAATGAGGATTTTTCTTCAGCATGATTACAGATATTTATGAGTTTTACTCGTTTCATGCTCGTATTCGTCAAAAATGCTTTATCCGTACCGGATACTCGTCTGAAACGAATATTCGGCTCATCCCTAATACTAACTTAATAGTCTAACTAATGCCACAGATCTGGTAGAGGACATTGGTTTCCACTGTTCCATAGTATACTTTATAACATGTACGCACCAATACCATTTTTTTCCAAACCGATACGACACCGATACTTGGATCCTAGTACTCGCCGATACAGATTACAGATATCGATACTTCTACCACACAAAGAAATGCAATGAATTGGACTGCAGGTTTTATTTTCTTTTCTGCTTTCAACAGGAAAAAAGTGAGATGGATAAAAATAAAATATATTAATAGAAAAGATCACAAAACTAAAACATTAGGTGAACAGAAATGACAAGTTACAGTGAAGCCACTTTACAGTGAAGCCACTTTCAGGTACCTGCATTTGTATCGGTTATCTTTAACCGATACCAGTATTGTATCAGTGCATTCCTACTTTATAACAATGCAGACAATTTAACACATAAAAAGGGCAAAACATCATGGTCTTTGGACTTTTAGTCAGAAGCAAGCAAAAAAAAAAAAAAAGGCATGAAGGCTATTGACTTAATTCTTCTCCCTCTTCAGGGTAGATGACATTTTTGATTCACCAGAGCCTTTTGTTTTTCATTACAAGCGCT